GCATGCCCCATGCCCAGCCCCTCCCTGGGGACAGCTGGCTCCTGTAAGCAACTCTGCCCTGACAGGGCACATCCACGGCTCCTGGCCTAGCCGCCCAGCACCTTCCTGCCCCCTCACGCTCATCCCTCACCACCCCACCTGCTCTTGCAGCAGACCTGGCCTTAGCACCTGACCTTGCCTCCCACTTCCAGAAGAATTGAGGCCATCTGGGAGGAACCCCGGCCAAGGCCCGCCCTCACGCCCAGAGATGCAGTTCCTTGCCTCTCCCTTCCGATTGTACCTGCACCTTCCCTCCTCAAGGCCAGCTCACTCCCAGGCTCCCACATCTCCCCCTCCACTAATGCACACGCACACACTCCTGAGTCCTTGGTCCTCATGTACCTCTCCTCCCTCATCACCGTCTTATCCCTCAGAACATCAGCCTGCTTAAGTCCCTCATTCCTAACCCGCCCACACACACCCAGACACCAACACACACACACACACACACACACACACACACACACACACACACATTCACCTTCAGCTACCATTTCAGCTAAGCTACTGCTGCCTTTTCTCTCTCTCTCTCTCTCTCTCTTTTAAAGCTGGGCGTCTTAAAAGAGTTGTTCACACCCTTTCTCCTTGTCTTCACCTCCCACTCACTCCCCAACCCACCGCAGTGCTGTTTCACCCTCTGCCATTATGGCACAGACTGTTCTTGCCAAGGTCACCAGCGGCTTTTATCTCGAAACCCAAAGGACCTCTGGCAGGCCTGGTCTCCGGCCACCTCTGCACAGGACTGGGCAGAGAGGGCACATCCTCCTCCTGGACGAGAGCTCCCCACAGACTCCCCTCCTGCTTGCCTCCTGCTGATGCTTCAGGCCCAGGCCACATCCTTAACTCCTGGGCTATGGACTCCCCAACCTCCATCTACCCCCGTCCCAGGCTCTGGACCCCCATATCCAACCCACCAACTGGCTTCTGGACATCTGCCTTCAGGTATCTTCTAGGTACCTCACGTTCAGCCCGCCCAAAACAGATCTCAGCCTCTTGACCACACACTTGCATTGCCTGCCCTGTTCCCGCTTGCCCTTCCCACACGGGGACCCGGAGGAGAACAGGGGAGTTGCCCTAACTCCTCTCTGCTTCACTCCCAGATCCATTAGCCTCCAGTTTCTGTCCCTCATGGCCCTTCGTCATGGCCACGCCAGCCTCCCCATCACCGAACCAGCCTCCAGACTGGCCTCCCAGCCTCCTCTCCTGCTCCCCTGTATGCTTCATGCATCAGCCAAGGTGATCTTTCTCAAATCCAGTCCGATCAACTCAGTCCTCTGCTTCCCGTTACCCTTGGCTTAAGTTCAAGCTCCTGAGCGTGACGTTTCTGCTTCAAAATCTGGCCTCCTGACACCCGTGCCCCTTCTGCCTTTCTTTTTTAAGGGTCCACGTGGTGCTGTGGGGTCGATCCCCAATGTCGGCCTTTCCCAAGACCCTGAATACCATGGCTGATTGAGAAAGGGGACTAGCAGAGCAATCAGCACGTTAGAAATATGGGACCAAGGCCAAGAAGCTGAGCCAGGAGTGTTGGCCGTTGGCCGCCTCTTTGATCCCCAAGGAAAGCCAACACTGTGGAGGGCACCACAAAAAGATGGGAAAAAAGCTCGTTTCTCAGTGACGTCCTTTCTTTTTTTTTTTCAAAACACTTTTTTGAAGTTTATTCATTTATACAGCTCCAGTGAGGGATGGGCAGAGAGAGAGAGAGAGAGAGAGAGAGAGAGAGAGAGAGAGAGAGAATCCCAAGCAGGCTCTGCACTCGAGAAACTGTGAGATCACGAGCTGAGCCGAAACCCAAGAGTCGGACGCTTAACCGACTGAGCCACCCAGGCGCCCCTCTCAGTGACACCTTTGAGCCGCTGGACCGACTCAGCTGAAGCCACTGAACCTCTGAACTTGTTGTCATATGAGCCAAGCCATTCCCTTGGTTGTTCGAGCCTGGTTGATTTCAGTTTTCTGTCACTTGCAACCACAGCCTCGGAAACCATACATCTCTCCACACAACCCCACTCGAACCCGAGCTTTCCTCACGTTCTCCTCAACAACCCGCGATTCCTTTGGAGTCTTTATATGTGTGATTCCTCGTACCTGGATCGCTGCCCCTTTTCTTGGTGGACCAATTCTCATTTGAGCCAAGCGACGCTCAGCTATCACCTGGGCCAAGACACCTGCCCCCTCCCCATCTCACTCCACAGGTACCTAGGCCGCCAGATCCTGGGAAATCGCTTCTGCCAAATCTCCCCTGATTTTACTCTTCTGTAGGGAGCTCCTTGTAGGCAAAGACTTAACAAACCGATAGGAAGGGCCAAGGTCTTTTTTTTAAGTTTGTTTATTTATTTATTTACTTACTTATTTATTTTGAGGAAGAGAGAGGGAAAGCCAGAGGGGAATAGGGACAGAGAGAGAGAGAGAGAGAGAGAATCCCAAGCAAGCTCTGTGCTATCAGCACAGAGCCCGATGCGGGGCTCGAACTCCCGAGTCGTGAGATCATGACTTGAGCTGAAATGAGGAGTCCCACGCTTAACCTCCTGAGCCCCCCAGGTGGCCCAGGAAGAGCCAACTTCTTATGATAACATACCAGCAACTTATTTGAGTGCCTGTTATTTGTTTCCAGCTGCGTCCCCAGATCCTAGATCAATACAAACACCTAGTAGATGCTTGATAACTATTGTTATCGGGTTCAAGTGGGGTTTGTGTGGAGAGATGTATGGTTTCCGAGGCTGTGGTTGCAAGTGACAGAAAACTGAAATCAACCAGGCTTGAATATGTTAGCAAATGAATAAACAAATGAATGCTCGCGGGTACCAGCCCACAGTGTGCAAACTGCCTCACCTAACACCCCCCCACACACCCCAGTAACCCTATGAGATACGTATCCTAACGATCTTCATTTCACGGGTGAGGACCTGAGGCTTTGCGAGATGACCAGCTTGAAAGTGGCAGAGCTGGGACCGACCTCAAGCCGGCTGATGCCAGAGGCCTGTTTTCACATCCCTGTGTCCACATCCTTTCAGTGAAGGTGCCTTTGCCTGCTCCCCCTGATAAGGAGGAATAATAGCCTTTTGATGGTGGTGTGGAGGTCAGTGGTCACCACTGCCAGGGCTCAGGGGTCGCCACGACCCCGGGTGCATCTCATCTCTCAGCTCTGTCTCTTGCATGCATCAGAAGGGTTCCCCCCCCCCATGGGGGTGTCCGGGTGGCCAGGCTAGTCAAGCGTCCGGCTCTTGATTTCAGCCCAGGTCGTGATCTCATAGTTCATGGGATCGAGCCCCCGCTCAGGCTCTGAGCTGACAGCACGAAACCTGCTTGGAATTCTCTCTCTCTCTCTCTCTCTCTCTCTCTCTCTGCCCCTCCCCTGCTCTCTAAATAAATAAATAAATGAACTTAAAAAAAATAATAAAAGGTTTCCCCTCATGATCACTAAGTGGCTACACTTACTCCGAGCATCCCATCCTTGGAGGACAATTTCCAGAGTGGGGAGGGGAGGGTCACAGAGCCAGGGTTTTCTCCTTGGCATCTTTCTTTATCAGGGAGAAAAACGTTTTCCAGGGATTCCTGAGCAGGCCCGTGCTCCTTAAACCAATCCTTGGGGAAAAGATTCCCATACTTGGATCAGAGCCATCATGGTTGTGCCCCAACACACCTGACATGACATCCAGGGGTCTCCACCCATCAACTGAACAGAGGTGGGGCTCTGTTAGCAAGGAAGAAGGAGGCATGGCTGTTGAATGGAGAGGAAGTCTCCACCCCCCACCCCTCCTGATACAGCACCCTCTCTATTACAGCCTTTAGAAATACTCATTGCCTGGGGCGCCTGGGTGGCTCCGTCAGTTGAGTGTCCCAGTTCAGCTCAGGTCATGATCTCAGGGTTTGTGAGTTCGAGCCCCACATCGGGCTCTCTGCTGTCAGCAGAGAGCTCAGTTCGGATCCTCTGTCCCCTTCTCTCTCTTTCTGCCCCTACCCCCTCTCTCGGCCCATCCCCTGACCTGTCTCTGTCTCTGTCTCTGTCTCTGTCTCTCTCTCTCTCTCTCTCTCTCTCAAAAATGGATAAACATTAAAAAAGAAAAGAAATACTCATTGGCTGAACTCCAAACAAAAGAAAGAAGAAGGGGTAGGAGGTGGGGGGAGTGTCCTTCTTGGCAGACATGGACTTTGGACCTGAAGTCATGGCCCCCAGGTGCCCACCTTTCAAGATGAGACCACCAAAGAAGGCTGCAGCTCCTGATGGAAAGCAGGCTCACGGGGCCCAATGTCTGCAGGGACCGATAACCTGGAACAGCCAGACAAGTGGTGGATCATGAACTGTTTGTTGTAGGTTAGATGTATGGAGCCATTCATTCAACAAGTGTTTATTGGCCATTGTCTCCTCCTCCACGAAGTCTGTATAGATGGGCAGACTGCGTGGAGATTGCCGATGAGGGGATTCTGAGTCTGCACTTTGCTTCGGCAGAAAGGATGCCAAGAGGGATTAGTAATGTCTGCCGTGAGCACAAAATGGGTGGGGGGGAGGCAAAGAGAAGGAAAGAGGCCAGGAAACAGAGTGAATTATGGGCAGAAAGACCTTGAGCCCAAAGACAGGGTCAGGTGTTAGAGGCTGAATTGTGCCTTCCCCCCAAATTCCTGTGTTCGGGTCCTAACCCCTAGTACCTCAGAATGCAACCTCATTTGGAGATAGGGTCTTTACAGACACAATAAAATTAAAGTGAGGTCATTAGGGTCCAACAGGACTCCTCCAACAGGACTGATGTCCTTATAAGAAGGGGAGGAGCACCTGGGTGGCTCAGTCAGTTAAGTGTCCGACTTCGGCTCAGGTCATGATCTCATGGCTTGTGAGTTCGAGCCCTTCGTTGGGCTCTGTGCTGACAGCTCAGAACCCGGAGCCTGCTTCGGGTTCTGTGTCCTTTTCTCGCTCTGCCCCTCCCTCGCTCATGGTCTGTCTCTCTCTCTCTGTCTCTCAAGAATAAATAAAATGTTAAAACATTTTTATTAAAAAAAAAAACAGGAGAAGGGGAAATTTGGACACAGAAAGTCATATAAGGAGCATGCCATGTGACCATGAAGAACCCCAAAGCTTCTGTGAGTCAGAATCTCAGGAATGATTTCATTAAGCGATTCGGCCTTGGGATCTCCCATGGGGTTGCCATCAAGATGTTGGCTGGGGCTTCAGTCATCTCAAGTCTTGACCCGTGTGGGACAATCGTCTTCCAAAGTGGCTCACTCACTTGGTTAGCGAGTTGTGGCCTGCTGTTGGCGAAGGCCCTCAATTCCTCACCGTATGGACTTCTCCATGGTGCTGCTTGTGCGTCCGGGAAGCATGGCAGCTGGCTTCCTCCCCAAGAGAGCGATTCCAGAGATTCAGGCAAAAGCTTGGTCTCCAGTTTCATAACCTGGTCTTGGGAATCGCACGCCGTCACAGTATTTTATTGTCACATAAGTCAGCCCTAGTGGATGCGGGAGGGGACAGCATAAGGGCATGAATGCAAGGAGGTAAGGGCTCCGGGGGCCATTTTGATGGCTGGCTGCCACAGGCTGGACAAAAGCTCTGGTACTGTAGAAGGTTCTAGGAGCAAGACTCATGAAGAGTCTGATAGATGGGGCTTGGGAAAGATGGAGCCTATGGAGCGTATGGGTTTCCCGGGACTGTTCGAACAACATATCTCAAACTGGATGGCTTAAAACAATAGCAATTGTGGGGCGCCTGGGTGCCTCAGTCAGTTAAACATCTCCCTTTGGCTCAGGTCATGATCTCATGGTCTGTGAGATCGAGCCCCACGTTGGGCTCTTGTACTGACAGCATGGAGCCTACTTGGGATTGATTCTCTCTCTCCCTCCCTCTCTCTCTCTCTCTCTCTCTCTCTGCCCCACCCTCGCTTGCTCTCACTGTCTCAAAATAAATAAACTTTTTTTAAGTTTATTTTTTTATTTTTTTAAGTTTATTTATTTATTTATTTTGAGGGGGTGGGGGAAGAAAGTACAGGTCATGGAAGGGCAGAGAGGGAGGGAGAGACAGAAAATCCAAAGCAGTCTCCACGTTGTCAGCGCAGAGCCCCACGCAGGGCTCAAACCCACGAACCATGAGACAATGACCTGAGCTGAGGTCAGATGCTTAACCAACTGAGCCCCCCAGGCGCCCCGAATAAATAAACATTTTTTTTTTTTTAGTTCGGAAAGGGGAGCCTGGGGGTCTCAGTTGGTTGAGCAGCATTCAGCTCAGGTCATGATCTCATGGGTTCGTGGGTTTGAGCCCCATGTCGGGCTTTGCCCTGAAAGCAAGGAGCCTGCTTTGGATTCTCCGTCTCCCTTTTTTCTCTGCTCCTCCCCCACTCACGCTCATGCTCTCTCTCTCAAAAATAAATACACGTTAAAATTTTTGTGAATATTAAAAAAAATATAGCCATTTTCTCACAGTTCTGGAGGCCAGAAGTCCCCAAACAAGGCGTTGGTGGGGTTGATTCCTTTTAGAGGCTCTGAGAGACAATCCTTTCCATGATGGCTCCCGGACATCTGTCTTCCTATGGCCACCTTCCGTGTGTGTGTGTGTGTGTGTGTGTGTGTGTGTGTGTGTGTGTCTCAAACCTCTCTCCCCTTTCTCATATAAGAACACCAGTCATTGAATTTAGAGCCAACCCTAAATCCAGGAGGACCTTCTTCTGAGGCCCCTAACCTAATTACATCTGTAAAGACCCTATTTCCAAATAAGTTCACAGGCACAGGTACCAGGGGTTGGACTTAAAGCGTCACTTTTTTTTTTTAATTTTTTTTTTCAACGTTTATTTATTTTTGGGACAGAGAGAGACAGAGCATGAACAGGGGAGGGGCAGAGAGAGAGGGAGACACAGAATCCGAAACAGGCTCCAGGCTCTGAGCCATCAGCCCAGAGCCCGATGCGGGGCTCGAACTCACGGACCACGAGATCGTGACCTGGCTGAAGTCGGACACTTAACCGACTGCGCCACCCAGGCGCCCCTTAAAGCGTCACTTTTTGGGGACACCGTTCAAGAAGCATCTCTGTGGAGGGAGGGAATGGTCGATGCCATGACCTACTGTCTCCACCTGCTTTGACTCAGCTGTCACCTCTAGGGAGCTTGCTACCTTTCCTTTGTGCCCCATAGCACCTTAGTCCATCACCATCACTGCCACCATTATTCCTTCAGCTAACATTTGCCGTCAGGCACTGAGCTGGGCCCCAGGGCTACAGCAGCGAGAGATGCCAAATTTAGTGTGCAAAAATATGGGGCAGGGTGTGGGAGGCCACGGGGCTTGAACTCGTGACTCTGAGATCAACACCTGAGCCGAGATCCAGAGTCAGACGCCTAATTTTTTTTTTTTTTTTGATGTTTATTTTTGAGAGAGACAGAGTGCGAGCGGGGGAGGGGTAGAGAGCGAGCCGGAGACACAGAATCTGAAGCAGGTTTCAGGCTCTGAGCTGTCAGCACAGAGTCCGATGTGGGGCTCGAACCCACAAACCGTGAGGTCATGACCTGAGCCCAAGTCAGATGCTGAGCCGACTGAGCCACCCAGGTGCCCCAAGAGTCAGATAGCTTAAGGACTGTTCAACCATGCCCAGTGTGGAGCCTACTTTGAATAGATAGATAGATAGATAGATAGATAGATAGATAGATAGATAAAGTGGCACCCGAGGTAATCTGAATTGCAGATAAAGAGTGAGTTTAAGTTTGGCCCATGTATTGTATTTGGCAACCCTGACATCCCAGCCTCCGTCAGGGAGAGAAGGCTCCGAAGACCTAAGCTGGGACCCCAGGGGTAAAGACAAGAGAGGGTTTCTGGTGAAGGAAACAGCAGGACCAAAGTCTTGGCGTGGAGAGGGGGCCCTGGCCAGGTGGGAAGGGGCCAAACATGCAGCCCCTAACCCCTGATGGAGGCTGGGACCTCAGAGTGCTCAACTGGCCCGACCAGATGTGCACTTTAGAAAAAGGGGGATGTGTGTGGCATTGAAATGCCAGAGAAAGAAGAGTGTTTCAAGGAGGAAGGAGTGAATAGCAGGCCAGATGTTGCAGGGAGGTCCAGAAAGACAGGGACTGAGACCCGTCCATTGGGAAGCTGCTGGAAGCATCGGGCAGAGGCTTCCGCGGGGTGCTAGGAATAGAAGCCACCTGCAGGGTGAGCGGCGTGAGAGTCAGGAAGGTAGAGATAAGGTGGGCCACTTTTTCCGAAAGTTTTTTTTGCGGAGGGAGAGAGGCCTGAAAGCAGGAGAGAGCAGGGTTGAGGAAGGCGGGGGAGGGAGGGAGGAGTGAAGGGAGGGACCCTGAGGGGATGAGGCCCAGCCCGGGGGGAGGTCTGGCCCTGCAGGAGGCTCAGCTCCTCAGGGGACCGGAAGGAAGAAGGTGGGGGCGCTTTCAGATGCCTTTTGGGACATCCCAGGACTGTCCTCTGCCAGGTGACGGGGCAATGTCTAAAGCCTGCCTCTCCCCAGCCGTGCAGTGACACGCGTGCCACTGGGGAGGTGTCTCCCCAGCCCGTGCCCCCCCACCCCCAGTACAGAAAATAACACAGAGCACAGGCCATCTCCAGGCCTCCACAAAGCAAATGAATGAATGACTAGTTGAGAGCAGTTGAGGGCTGTAGGGCAAGAGGAGAGCAAAGCAGGGTGAGGGAGTGGCTGGAGCTGGAGGAAGAAGGGTCCAGAAAGTGGGTGGGAGGGGTGCAGGGCCTGAGAGAGAGGGGCAGAGTGTCTCCATCCAGAGGGGTGTGAGAGGAGAGCAGAGCAAGAAGCCCGGGGCGTGTGTGTGTGTGTGTGTGTGTGTGTGTGTGTGTGTGTGTGGCTCATGAGGCAGTGTAGACAGCCTGGTTGAAAGAGGCAGAGGCTTGTCGGGGAGGGGAAGAAAGGAGCGGTGGGTGGGGTGGGGAGGGGGGGAGGGGTGGGGAGATGAACTTTTGCACCTTGGAAGGGAATTCCTTGGTCGCCCTGGGCCATGCCAGGTGCCTTCCTTATTCCTATCTCCTTTAATCTCATTTAATTCTCCCAACCTGCCTTGGAGGACATCAAGCCGGTGAGAAAACGGTCGCTGCGGGTAGTCTCACTGTAGGAATAAGGAAACCGAGTTTCTGGGTCTCGAGGCACCTTGCCTAAAGTCTCAAAGCTCCCAGGTAGCAGAGAAGGAGTTTAAGCCCAGGCTGGTCTGACTCCAAAGCAGACTCTGTTCCACCACCACTGGAGGCCAAGGAAGCCCTGAGCAGAGAAGAGTCCACAATCGGGTGGAAGGATACTGATGTAGGGCAGGAACAGGGCATTGGACCTTCTCAGGCCTCTCACGGGGCCCAGATGATGTCACCTCCCCAAGGGACTGCTGGGCTCACCTCTCGGGCTTTGTCAGATATCCCGCAAATTCCAGCAGCCTGGGGGAAGGTGGACCCAAGAGTGAGGAGTGTCACAAGAGCCAGCACATAAGGTAATCTTGGAGGCAGATATCTGGTCCCTCAAACAGCTGACCTTGAAATTCAAAGTGGGTAAGGAAACAAGAAAAGCCAAAACAGGGTGGGGACTGCTCAGGGTTGTGGGGGGGGGGGCTGTTGAGCCTGATTCCCACCTTGCCCCTCCTCCCTCTGTAAACACCCTTGCCCACTCCTTCACGCTTCCCTGGCTCTGCAAATACTGTTCCCGCCCCTGGAATCTCCTTGCCTCCTCCTCCTTCAAGGGCAAGTTCACAGGGCCCCTCTTCCCACCCTGGCCACTCTCCTCCCACCCTTAGCTCCCTCTTCTGGTCCCCAGAGTACTTGCAAGCAAATTTTCTTTTTTTGCTTTTTTTCTTTTCTGTTTTAACTTTATTTATTTTTGGTACTGTCTACACCCATTGTGGGGCTCAAACTCATGACCCCGAGATCAAGAGTTGCAGGCTCGGGGCACCTGGGTGGCTCAGTCGATTAAGCGTCCGGCTCTTGATTTCTGCTCAGGTCGCGATCTCACGGTTCATAAGTTCGAGCCCCGCATCCGGCTCTGCACTGACAGTACGGAGCCTACTTGGGATTGTCTCTCTCTGCCCTCCCCCACTTGTCCCCCCCACCCCCGCCCTCAAAATAAATAAGCATGGGGGGGGGAAAGAGTCGCAGTCTCCACCGCCTGCGCCAGTCAGGCGCCCCCCCTTCTGACCGAGGAATAGGATTCAGGTTGAAGATTCATTCATTCCAGTCTACCTACATTCCTCTCACCGTCTCCTCAGGCTGGAAATACCATCACGCTGGCTGCGCTCCAATTTGTGTCTCCTGCCTGGACCTCCCCCCTGCTCCGAGTTCCAGACTCTGATCACCCCACATTTCTATGTGAATGTCTAAGAGACATCTCAAACCTGACATGGTCAATACAGAATTCCTGATCTTCCCCAGCCCCACCCTCGTCGTGTTCCCTCCAAAGCTGCCCGGGTCTCTGTTGAAGCCGCTGCACTTTCCCAGGAGCTCAAGCTCAAAAACACACCAGACAGACCCTGACTACTACTCCCATCCCCACTGCTGTCCAGCTGGTACAAGCATCATTGATTGTTCTTGCCTTTGATTGGAGCAATGGCCTCTGCATGGATCCTCCCGTGACCTTGCCCCTACACTGTCTTCTCAACCCCGTGGCCAAGAGCACGTAAGACACTCCATGGCTCCTCCATGCAGACTCTCCTGTGATGTCCCAGCTCGCTCTATCCCAAAGTCCTTTAAAACCTACAGGCCCTAGGGAACCTGGCTGGCTCAGTCGGTAGAGCATGTAACTCTTGATCTCAGGGTCACGAGTTCAAGCCCCATGTTGGGCGGAAAGCTTACTTAACGAGTACAAACCCTGAATGATCCTCTCTCTACTTGTTTTTTAAAACAATTTTCTTTAACATTTATTTATTTTGACACAGAGAGAGAGACAGAGCATGAGCAGGGGAGGGGCAGAGAGAGGGAGACACAGAATCCAAAGCAGGCTCCAGGCTCTGAGCCCGATGCGGGGCTCGGACCCACGAACAGCGAGATCATGACCTGAGCCAAAGTCGGACACCCATGCTTCCTTACTTCCTTCGGATCTTGACACAAATGTTACCACATGCTTACCTGCCTTGAGTATCCTAGCTAAAACTCCAAATCCTGACTCTCCTTATCCCCCTTCCCTGCTTTATTTTCCTCCATAGAATCGATATCATCTACCTTATTATATATTTTTACCAGTTTATTTGGTTTATTATCTGCCTCCTTTTAGAACACAAGTGCCGGGGGCGTCTGGGTGGCTCAGTTGGTTAAACGTCCGACTTCAGCTCCAGTCATGATCTCGAAGTCTGGCCCTGTGCTGACAGCTTGGAGCCTGGAGCCTGCTGTGGATTCTGTCTCCTTCTCTCTCTCTCTCTGCCCCTCGCCCGCTCACACTCTGTCTCTCTTTCAAAAAATTAAATAAGCATTAAAATTTATTTATTTATTTATTTATTTATTTATTTATTTATTTATTTATTTTTTTAGAATACAAGTTCTGTGAGGGCAGGCCTTTTCTGTTACGGCTGTTTGCTTTGCTGTCGGGAACAGTGCCGAGCCCATGGTAGGCCCTCAATAGATACTGTTGAGCACTTGTTTGGGGGTCATCACTGCACTGAGCACTGGAAGATGGGATAATGCGCAAAACCTGACCAAGTCTATGAAACTTAAGTCTCGGTCAGCGGTCGTCTAATTTTCGCGAGTATGACCCTACCTGCGGAGCTCGTGCAAGATTGACTCCACCCCTGGAGTTCTGGGGTAGGACACCCGGTAGGACCCAGGGGTGTATACAGTGCATTCAGCTTCCCAAGTGATTCTGATGCAAGGGGTCACCCTGGTCTGCTGGGACGGACTGAAAGTCCTATCGTTCAGGACACCTGAGGTCTCATTTCCACAGCACCATCCATTAAACAGTGTTGCTTGCCTGTCTCCCCTCTAAACAGTGACGTTTTGGACTGCTCGTCTCTGTGTCCCCTGGGTTCAGCACCGCGTAGGTGGCGGTGAATGCTTATTGAGAGAGCGAATGAATGAGGAACGAACAGTTAGACGGATGAATGAATAACGGGACTCCGGTTAGAAAAGGAACTTCAAGAGTTCAAGATCTAGAAGGCGGGAACGTTTCCAAAGAGTTTCCCTGTGCCCGAAGGTTGCAGGAGGAGCTGGTGTTTCCGAGGTCATGACGCGTTTGCTCCTCTGCGAAGGTGCCCCGGGCCGGGCCGGACCGGAGCGGCCGCGGGGAGGCCGAGCGCTGGGGCAGCGCTGCCACCCACCCCGCGGCCTGGCAGCGCTCTGCTCAGGGCCAGGCGCGGCCGTTGCCATAGCTACAGACATAGCCTGGAGAAGGGAGGGGGCGGGCCCGGGCTTACGTCATTCCTAGCGCGACGCTGCTCCGCGCCTCCCGCCTCTTTCGGGAGCGAGACCCTCCACCCGCCTCCCAGGCTCTCCACCTGCGCGCTTCCCCAGCTCGCGCCCTCCCCCTCTCTGCGCCGGCGCGGTGCCCGCCAGGGCGCGCAGGGGAGCCCGCGAGGCGCATGCGCGGTGCGGGGCCCGCCGCCGTTCTGGTGTCGTCGCCGCCGCCGTCGCTGCCGTTGCCGCCTCCCTGCCGGCAAGTGTGGGAAGGAGGAGCTGAGGGCCGCCGCCGCCGTTGCCGCCATGGGGGTGAGTGAGGCAGGGAGAAGAGACGCGAGGGCCGGGAGCGCTCCCCGCTCCCCTCGCCCCCTGCGCCCCCATTGTTCCTTGAACCCCCCCTCACGTGACCCCGACACCCTCCGGCCTCACGTGACCCCCCCAACCCCCACATGACCCGGCTCCCCCATTCTAAGTGTCCCCCAACGGCGCAGCCCGGGGATCCCTTGGGGAGCCCCCTTCTCCGGGCTCCACCCCCTTGGGTGTCCTCCCCCCCGCTCCCCGCCCCCCGCGTCGCGCCCGCCCCGCCTTCTCGGCTGACCTGTTCTCTTCCTGGCCTCTCCCCGACCTCTGCGCGGTCCCTGGGGTACCCCCAGCTCCCAGGCGTCACCCATCACCTGGCTGTCACCGGCTTCGCGGCTCCCCACATCCCAGGCCGACCCTGGCGTGGAGGGAACTGAGGCCCGGAGAAGAGGCACCCAGCCAAGGTCACACAGGCAGGGAGCAGGGGCCAGACCCAGACTCGGGCCTCCCCAGCCCTCCGCCACTGGCTGCGCTTCCTGCTACCCGGATTCTCGGGGAAGCCGGTGCCCCTCCACTCTTTCCAAACCTGTCCACCGGCTTCCTCCTGCTCCTAAAACGTCCCCTTCCCTTCCAACAGAGGCCTGTTCTCGAGGCCTCCTGGAGGCAACGGAGTGGTTCTAATTATTTCTTAGTTAGTAGGCTCGTTAGTAGGCTAAGGACTACAGGTGGCTTTGCACGGGCCGGCTGTGCGGGTGAGCAGGGGACCGATGGCGGGGCCACTGATGGCTCCAGCCGCAGATGGATAGTGACCACCTGTTCTTCCTGAGGCAGCCTGGAGGTGCGCCCTTCCCCGGCAGAGAGGGTTGGGCAGAAGTTACTCAGATATTTCTGTGAGTTCACCTTCCTAAGTTCCACTCAGAGTAGCGTCAGTCATCCCCCTGTAGCAAGCCCGGCCTTTGAGCCAGATATCCCTCAGTTCTCTCATCACTGGCCAGCAACACGATACTGTGCCAGTGACGTGGCCTTCCTGAATTGGAATTTTCGCATCTATGTAATGAGGATGATGATACCATATCCCCCCCCCCCCCATGAGAGTATTAAATGAGATAGTGGATGTCCATAGCCACATGGGTGCCTCTCGATTCGTGGCTGTTATTTTTGCTTGTATTCTCACCTTTTACTTTAGTTGTCTAAAATAGATCTGTGCTATTTTTAATCCATTGGGTTTGTCCCTCCTGTTGTTAACCTAGATTTTTCTCGTTTAAGTAGTTATTGACCGAACATACCAACTTGTTAGACAAAAATAGTTGTCTAACCCCTGTCGAAGCACTTTATGTAATCCATGTCAAAAAAAACACATTCATCTTGTTTCAGCAAGGAATTTTGGGTACTGCGTACTTCCCATATAGAAAATCAAGCCTAGAAACCTTAGGCATATTTAACCTAGATTTTGCTGAAAGGTGCCAGACCCCAGCTCTTGCTGAAATGAGGTAAAATTGGGGCGCCTGGGTGGCTCAGTCAGTTAAGTGCCCGACTTCGGCTCACGTCGTGATCTCACGGTTTGTGGGTTCGAGCCCCGCGTGGGGCTCCGCACTGACACTGTAGAGCTTGCTTAGGATTCTCTTTCCCTCTCTCTCTGCCCCCACCCCTCCGCCCCCACTCATGCTTTCTCTCTCTCAAAAATAAATTAAAAGAAAAAGAAAGAAATGAGGTAAAATCTGTGCCCCTGGTATCCACTCTGTACGTGTCTACCCAGCATCAGCCACGACAGACTGAGCAGAAAACGAAAGGCATAACATGCCATACTGGCCAACACTTCCTTATTGGTTGCGTTGAAAGCAGGACTCAGAGATACTGCGACCCTTGCTTCCTGTGGGGCCTCCCCACATTATTACTCTCACTTCACAGATGTGTTTCTCAGAACAGCCCCTACCTAGTCTCTTCTGGCCTAAAGCGCACTGCAGAAGAGAAACTTGAATCTTCCTCCCTGGAACAGAGCTGGAACCCTCTCTCTCATTATGCTCATTCCTCATGGGTGGGGACTGTGGACTCCCCACGTCAGTGTCAGGAAGGCCAGTGTTTGTAGCGATCACCCTCTGTTGGAGGGTCCTGCTGCGTTTGACAGCCTGACCTCAGGCTAAGAGTGGCATCAGACCGAGCACCCTTCTCTGCTTCAAAGGTCTTTTCACCCTTGATGCCACAAATGTGTGGTCTTTTAGGAATTAGAATTTAGAGCTCTGGCTCCCTTTGCCAAAAAAACAGGATTTTTTCCAGACACTGGATACTTTGAGGGGTGAAGGTATTGGCGCCGTGAAGCTAAGAGGTGCTAAATCTCTTTTCTGAGATGTGCCTCCTGCCCCCATCTGTGTGCTTTTTATTTTTTAATTTCTCTGTGTGACTCCTGGCAGTCCTAGAACTGCCTGTGGAGACACTGCTTTGATAGGCATAGCAGGGGAGGGGGGCTCTTGGGGGGGGTGCTCAGTCAGTTAAGCATCTAACTTTGGCTCAGGTCATGGTCTCAAGGTTCGTGAGTTCGAGCCCCCCTTCGGAATTCTCTCTCTGCCCCTCGTGGGATCATCTCTCTCTTTCTCTCTGCCCTTCATTCACTCACACGCTCTTTCTCTCTCTCTCAAAAAAAAAAAAAAAAAAAAATATATATATATATATATAGTAAGGGGAGGAGTTTCACAGCTTCGTGTGAAAACACTTATGTAATATGTAACACTTGATAACAAGTGCTGTATAAAGGTAGTTGATGTTGTGGAAGAAGCTCCCACTTTAGGGTTCAGACCTGGGTTTGAATCTTGGATGATTCATTCGGCAGGTATGGACTTAGTACCTACTGTTTGCTGAGCACTGGGTATACATTGACTAATTTTACCAATGTGACCTCTATCTCTGCCTCTACCTCATGGAGTGCACAGTCTGGTGTGAGTGGGGGGAGGGGGTGGTAAGGAGACCTCTTTGAGAAGTCTTTTCACAGTCTCTGTGACCCTGAAAATGATCTCACCCCTCTGTGCCTCAGTTTTCTCATCACAGAAATGGGTACACATAACTTGGGGAGTTATTATAAAGACCAAAATAAATCCTCTTTATTTTTTTCTAATGTTCTGTTTACTTATTTATTAAAAAAATTTTTTTTTAACGTTTATTTACTATTGAGAGACAGAGCATGAGCATGGGAGGGACAGAGAGAGAGGAGGAGACACAGAATCCGAAGCAGGTCCCAGGCTCTGAGCTGTCAGCACAGAGCCCGACGCGGGGCTCGAACTCCCAAACCGCGAGATCATGACCTGAGCCGACGTCCGACGCTTAACTGACTGAGCCACACAGGCGTCCCTGTTCTGTTTATTTTTGAGAGAGAGAGAGAGGGAGGGAGGGAGCGTGCGAGCAGAGGAGGGCAGAGAGAGAGGAAGACAGAGGATCTCAAGCAGGCTTTGTGCCGACAGCAGAGAGCTCAATGTGGGGCTCAGACCCACAAGCCGTGAGTGAGATCATGACCTGAGCTGAAGTCGGATGCTTAACGGACTCAGCCACCCACCCGCCCCGCTAAATCATCTTAAAGCGTCAGCAGTGTGTGGCACTAGCGGATCCTTGTAAACAGAAGTCCTTATCTTTGGCATCTGGTACATTGTGTCATTTTGTCCTAGCAGCAGTCCTGTGAGCTATAGGCATTGTTAGCCCCATGTTACTGATGAGGAAATCGAGATTCAGAGAAACTAAGTAACTGGCCCAAAGTCACACAGCTACTCAGAGGAAGAGCTGAGTATCAAATCCAAGTCTCTTGGCTCAAAATCCCACACTCTTTTTATTATATAAAGCTCCCCTGGGAAAGACACTTAACCACAATGAGCTTTACTGTTCACTGTGCCGATTTCCCATTTTAATTAGGAGAATTTTCCGGTGTCCCTGCAGGATAGCCTTACCTCCACAAGGCAGGGCAAAGCTAATTGGAACAGTAGGAGACCACTTTTCCTAGTGTGTGCTAGGTTTGAGGGAGAGCCCCTGCCTGTCCCGGCTGCAGCAGCCTGCCGCATACCCCGTGTGCAGGGACTGAAGCACTTAAGGGTCTCTTTCATTATCTGCCGTCTCGGGCCACAGCAGCCCCAAGCCTCACTCTGAGGGTTGCCTGGCTTGCCTGTTCCCTTGCATGAATGAGCCCATAAATCTCCCGGAGGCCTGGGGTTGGCCCTCCTGCTGCTTGTGCTTAGGAATTACTTACTTCATGTGCTTAGAAATGAGATGCTGTGGCGGGAACCCACGTTTCAGTGCTTTCTGGGTCCCAGGAGTCACCTGCACCTTTGATCTCTCGGCTCTGTATTGTGTTAAGGGAGAACTAGCATGCAGAGTGGAGGAGGGGAGCTCGTCTCCGCTGTAACGGCGTGCTGACTTCTGACCTGTCCTTCCAGCTCTTCTGTGAGGCCAGCATTCATGTCCCCACTTTTCTGGGGATGGGCTTGCTTTCATAGGGCATGCAAGGGCGGCGGGAGGAGCACTGGCCTGGCCTGGCCTGGCCGATGCCAAAGCGCATGTTCTTTTCTTGGAGACCTGCTGTCTCGGGTTTGCCTGTTCCTCACCCCTACCTCAGTGTAGAGGTAGGGCCTGGGGCAGCACCGTGTGGGCACGGTGGCAGCGGGGCAGCCATTTCCAAGCCAGAAGGGATGAGAATGAATTGCTGAGTGGCTACCTTAAGGGCACCTGAGGTCTCGCCTCTGTCTTGGCAGGACTGAGACGGTCTTTTGACATTGATGTTGGCCTTCCCGTTGGGAGACAGCCTGGCTGGTGGAACAAACCCTGGATCTGGGGCTCAAACCCTGGGGTTGAATCCTCTGCCACTTGCTCTTGGGGGAGCCCTACATGAGTCACACCATCCCCTTGAGCCTCAGTTTCCTCGTGTGTGAATGGACAGGATGGCTTTTGCCCTGAGGAGCAAAGCAGTTATTTGTGACAGTACTTTGCGAGCTGAGCTGAGTGTATCCCTCAATGTTGTTTTGAAATTCAAATTCCCAGAGGAAAAGGTGGATGCTCTAAAACCTGCGTGTAGTAGAGAGGGGCTGGTCCTGTCCCCAGTCAGTCCTAGCATTATGAGGACAGTCTGCTTGCTTCTGTTTGTTCCTTTATTTGTTTATTTTTAACTTAAAAAAAAAAGTTTATTTGTTTTGAGAGTGAGAGAGAGAGAGAGAGAGAGAGAGAGAGCGCAAGTCGGGGAGGGGCAGAGAGAGAGGGACCGAGAAAGAATCCCGAGCAGGCTCTGAGCCGTCAGCGCCGAGTGATGTGAGGCTCAAACCCACAAAGCTGAGAGATCATGACCTGAGCCGAAGTCAAGAGTCAGACACTTAACTGACTGAGCCACCCAGGCGCCCCTGTTTGTTCCTTCCTTTAGGGAGGTGGGAAATGGGGTCTAGCCTTGCTTCCAGCCCAGTACTCAGTGTGGGGATAGTAAATAGCTGACGTTGGGCGAGTTTACACCTAGAAGAGCAGTTCCTGTGAGTTCCTTGTATCCGAGCTCTTGCCTTCTGGTCCCTCGAAATAAGAGTTAAGCAGTGTTGGGGAGCCTGATGGCTCAGTCCGTTTAGCCTCCGACTTCGGCTCAGGTCATGATCTCGCAGTTCGTGGGTTTGAGCCCCGCGTCAGGCTCTGTGCTGACAGGTCAGAGCCTGGAGCCTGCTTTGGATTCTGTGTCTCCCTCTCTTTCTGCCCCTCCCCGGCTTGTGCTCTGTCTCTGTCTCTCAAAAATAAATAAAATAAATAAATGCTAAAAAAAAAAAAAAAAAAAGTTAAGCAGTGTCATTCCTTAGAGAGCCGAGGGTAGAATTTATCCTGAAACTTGTCCAGCAGCTGGTTTTTTCAACTCACCCTTTGCTGGGGCCAGTCGGTGTCAGGGCTAAGGTGCAGCTGGAGGTAGTAAAACCTCTCTCTGGGGAGCTCGGGGCACTGAGAGGTGGGGTCCGAAGAGGCAGTGCGTTGGTGCAAAAGCAGAGCCGTCCTGCCCGTGCCTTTGGGTGCCTTCTGGTGCCTTCAGGAGTTGGGCCGGGCGGGTGGGCAGCTTGGGATGCCTACGCTGCTCTGGGCTTCCCGGGGAGTGAGAGCAAGGGGCCTCGTTCACTGAGAACAGGCCAGACTCATCCTCACCGGCTTACACCTCCAAGGACGCCTTCTGAGCCTCATTGGTCGGATGAGGAAAGGAAAGGCAGAGGAGGGCTGGGTCTTTTCCGAATACCACTCCGAAGAGACCTTGGATAAAGCCTGTCAGACTTCAGATGGGCTCTTTTTCCTGTGTCATTAGCTTTTTACAAGAGGGTGAGAGGGTCCATTGAGGCCTGAGAGAGCCCCGCGTGAGCCTTAAAATAGGATTTGCTCTGCACGCAGTTACGAGTGGTTTGCCACTCGCGCCTCTGTGCAAGGACGGTCTCTCTTTGCTCCTCCCCTGCTGCCTGGGTGCCCTGCGGCCTGGCCTTGCTGACGTGTGTCAGCGTGGCCTCTGTCCCCAAGTGAGCCCTTCGCTCTGCCCTTGTCGAGACTAGGTGCGCAATGTGCGCGGCGCTTCTGGGGAACAGAGCGCCCTGGCCCCAGGTTAAGAAAGGGGACCTGGCTCCCAAAGGGGCTCCCCCAGACCGAATCTTTGCCTTCTGGAGCTGGAAGACGCTGAAAAGGCTTTGAATAAACTTCTCCTTAGGAACAGCTTTCAGCGGCTACCTCAGATGTCTCCCTGAAGCCTGCCCTGAATGTGTCTAAAATTAGTGGTTGCCTCCTTAGGAGGGAAAGGATGAGTGCATATTTATTAGGCACCTGCTGGGGCCCAGGCTCCGCCCGCAGCCATTGTCCTGTGCTCTCACTGGGTCCTCACGGCCACCCGTCAGTCCCGAGGGCCAGCAGTCTTTCTGACAGGGAAGCCGAGAAGTCTAGTGATGCTCCCGAGCTCTCGTGCCTAGAAAACGCTTGGGTCTTTCCCACCCCGCCAAGTGTGCAGCAGGCGGGACTGGAAACTCCTGCCGCTGGGGCCAGGCCTCGGTTGCTCAGAGGCAGAGTGAAGCTTTGGTTGGCCACAGCCCTTCCAACCAACTTTGCTTTTCCCTGTTGCAGAGGAAGTCAAGCAAAGCAAAGGAGAAGAAGCAGAAGCGGTTGGAGGAACGAGCAGCTATGGATGCCGTCTGTGCCAAAGTGGACGCCGCCAACAGGGTGACTCCCCTCCTTCCCAAGTCCCTTCCTCCTAGAACTTCAACTTGGTTTTTAATTTGACTTCTTTTGGCGCCACCCTGTGGCAGAATTTTGTTACTCTCCAGCCTACACCTCCGCGGCCCTCTTGCTGCGGAGGCAAATGAGCCAAATGAGCCAAGCCGCAGCCCGCAGGGCCCGAGATTGGCGAGGGCGTGTGGGCAAATGTGGACTCAAATGGGAGTGGCTGCTTCTCTCTGTGGGTCTCCTTCCGTACCAGTGGAAGAAGGGTCCGGAGACGTTTTTGTTAGGATTTTGCATTTTGGTGAGGAAACCCCCCTGGTAAAATGTGATACGGTTTTCTCATTCGTTCCTTCAAACACTAATTGACCGACCGTGAGGTGCCAAAGGCTGTGCCGGCACCAGGGGCCGGGGGCAGCAGCCTGGTTCCAGGGGCCGGAGGCAAGGAAGCAGTAGCTGTGGAGCTAACCCTAACCCCAACCCCAGGGGTCCCAGGAGCAGGCTTGGCTTTCAAACAACCGAAGACATTGCGGTCATCCTTCCTGCCCCCATTTCGTATCCCATTTTTGCCCTCATTTTAGCCCACCCACTAAACAGTCCACATATATAAGGAGGTGGTTCAGGGACATGGTCGTTCCAGTTTGCGTTTTGACCAGGTGAGGCTGGTTGGGGGCTTCTTCGAAGTATGTAGGTGGATCAGGGGGCCTCTCTCTTTTGGCTCAGGTGACCTAGAGGCCAGTATTGGTGTTAGGCGAGTAGAGTCTCTTCTTAGCTTGTGACATGAGGCTGACTTCAGCCTCGGGCCTTCTTACTAGAACCCTCCCTACCTGTGATTCCAGAGCTGAGGCAGGTGAAGGGTCTGTATGAGGGCTGCTCCTGGGCCGGAGCTAAGCCTCCCAGTGTGGGGCTGCACACCTCGGGGCAGAGCCTGCGACTGGGCCACACCTGCGTTTGTGCTACACCTCTTTTCTTTCCCTCCACAGCTTGGAGACCCTTTAGAGGCTTTCCCAGTGTTCAAGAAATATGATCGAAATGGGTAAGTGTTTCACTCTCCAGCTGTTGTCTCCTTGAGGGTCTGAAGGGATTCACCTTCCCAGAGTATGTTTCCTCAGACCCGAATTTTCTCATTTGTTATGAAAAAGAAGAAGCTACGGCTCATGTCTTGTGGGGATAGAATCCGCCGGTCAGGGTGACAGAGGAGTCCCTAATGAACAAAGATTGCATAATCTTAGACTGAGGTTTCTTTAGGATTTGAAATTGTCTCTGGGTGAAGAATCATAGAGCTGAAACAAACTTGAAAAATCTAGGCTGACTTCCTCCTTTTATGCAGGGGGAAACCGAGGCTCAGAGAAGCTGGATAAGATTTCTGAGCTACAGAGTTTCTCTCTGGCAGCTGAGGGGGCTTTTCATTCCCAATCTAAAGCGCTTTCCTGGAGTGTATGGTGCAATTGTTAAAAGCCACTTACTAGGGGCACCTGGGTGGCTCAGTTGGTTAAGCGTGACTCTTGATTTTGGCTCAGGTCACAATCTCACGGTTCATGATATTGAGCCCCTCATTGGGCTCTGCACTGACAGCGGGGAGCTTCTTTGGCATTCTCTTTGTCCCTGTCTGTCTGCCCCTCCCTCGCTGGTGCATGCTCTCAAAAAGTTAAAAAAATTTTTCAGGGCGCACCTGGGTGGTTCAGTGGGTTAAGCGTTCAACTTCAGCTCAGGTCATGATCTCACGGTTCATCAATTTGAGCCCTGTGTCGGGCTCTGTGCTGACAGCTCAGAGCCTGGAGCCTGCTTCACCTTCTGTGTCTCCCTCTCTCTCTGCGCCTTTCCTGCTCACACTTGGTCTGCCTCTCTCTCTCAAAAATAAATAAAAATTTAAAAACTTTTTTAATTTTTTAATTGTGTGTATATATATATGTATATATATGTCTATTTGTTTTTGAGAGAGAGCAAGGAGAGGAAGGGCTGAGAGAGAGGAGACACAGAATCCGAAGCAGGCTCCAGGCTCTGACCTGTCCACGCAGAGCCTGACGCGGGAAAAAAAAAAAATTTTTTTTTAAAGCCACTTACTGGCTCTGTGACCCTGAACAAGTGACTTAACCTCTCTATGCCATTTTCTAATCAGAAATGGGTCTAATAATAGTACCTTCCTCATGGATGCGTCACAAGTATTAGATGTAAAGTGCCAGTGCCTAGAGCTTACCAAAAGCTAGATCAGTGTTGACTGTTACTCCTACTGTTATTGTTGCTAATCCAATTTATTGCTGTGGGATCTGGATTAAAGCCCCCTTCCCCTTTCTGTCCTTTTGGTTTATAAAACAGGAAGCATAATCTGTCTTAGCAGAGATGCTGTTGGCTTAGGGAAAAACAGGGGTTATGATTTTAGAGAATCATAGCTATGGGTTTGAATCAAAACTGTAACTCTTAAGAACTATATTCAGACAAACCACACAACTTAAGCCTCATTTTTTTTTCTTAATCTGTTAAATGGAGTGATAATGCTGAACTTGCAAGGTTTTTGTTTGTTTGTTTTTTGTTTTAGTTTATTTATTATTTGTTTTGAGAGAGAGAATGAGAGCATGAGCGCATGAGCAGGGGAGGGACAGAGAGGGAGGGAGACGGAGAATCCTAAACAGGCTCCACGCTGTCAGCGCAGAGCCAGACTGGGGGCTCGAAGTGATGAACCGTGAGATCATGACCTGAGCCGAAATCAAGAGTGAGATGCTTAACCGACCAAACCACCCAGGCGCCCCTTGCAAGGTTGTTTTAAGGAGGCGAGAGAATTCTATCCAGTTCTGTAAGTAGCAGCTGGTATGAGTATTTTAGTCAACAAGAAAGACAAATGCACGTAGGAAAATTAGGAAGCAAACGCCTTGGTAGGTGACGCTGTATCTGCTTTTCATAGTTAAGTCTGAATTTGATAGTGTCACATTCATTTGTTCTTCCTGTCTGTGATCAGATGCGCTACAGTTCCTCCAGTAGCCTTGTCATTCAACATCCAGGAAGTCCTTTGACATAGTTTAGGGATACCTTACTGTGATATCTTCTAGTGTTCCATATTCAGCATTCCTGCTGACTTTCCGAAATATGGAACAGCTCTGAAGCAGGCACTGCCAGCTGACTCTGGGCTCCTTTGGTGCCTAGAATTTTGTGTGATCTGTGTGGCTGTGATCTTGCCTGAATGTACTTCAAGAATTCAGATTAATGGAGGATTCATATCTACAGACCGGCCTTAGGAAAATCTACAGCTAAAACAGATGCAGTGCTGTGTTTGGGCATTTCTGACTACTACGCGGTCAGTACTCAAGGAAAGGAAGACTCTTCAGGGCCAAAAAGTTCTGAATTTATAAGGCTGAGCACATGTGCAGGTCATATGGCGTGCCAGGCAGCAGAGGTGACAGTCGATTCCAACGGGGACATCCTCTGAGGGGTCGTGTCAAAGGCCGCTGGAAGATGCTGATACGGGAACTCTGCAAGGACTCAGCATCACTGACTTCAGTCTTGTCATAATCCGGCACTACCTAGAGACTGGGATTTCATACTTTGGCCAAAGAGTTTAACTGTAATTTATTAAAGTTTTATTTAGAAGCACGTAGATTAAGACACCTTAACATCTACAGCATATTTGTTAGTTTAAGAAAACAGCATGGAGTTGGACCCCATTCCACCCGCATTTGATCAACCTAGAGCATCTGCTGTGTCCTCAAAGGAAATGGCAGGCAGTACTCCTCACGGGGGTTATGGGCCATGGACTTCTCAAAGGGTCTGAGGTGACCCAGCCACTTTCAAGGCCCCAAGGGAGCCCAGAGATGAAATGCCTAAGGGCAGGAACTAAAGGAGTCAAGACTCTAGTGTTTATAACAAAATACAGAAGAGCTGGATTTCAAGCTTTGCTTGAGAAAGCAAAGAGGTAGCAGAGAGGGGCAGAAGTTTACAAGGTGCTGAGTCTGATAAGGGCCTCACGTGGGGGCAGGAAATGGGACTGTGGTCAGGGTGGTGGGCCGGCGATGACAGTTGTTGATCTCAGCCCGCAAGGCTTCATCCTTCGCAGGCATCTTCTGTAGTCACAGTCCGGAAGGCAGGGCACAGGCTTGGCTTTTCTCTGTAGATTAACAGACCAGGCCCGCTTCACTGGCAGGCTCTCAGGGCGGCAGGCAGCGCTCGGGCCTGTAGCCGGCTCCACGCGCCTCCGTTTCCACTTTGCAGGTTAAACGTCTCCATTGAGTGTAAGCGAGTGTCCGGACTGGAACCGGCCACCGTGGCCTGGGCCTTCGACCTGACCAAAACCAACATGCAGACCATGTAAGCACACCCCGACGGGTCTTGCTCCTCCCCTGCTGGGGTTTCCCGCCCTGACTGCCCCCACGTTTCCCAGGTACGAGCAAAGCGAGTGGGGCTGGAAGGACCGAGAGAAGCGGGAGGAAATGACAGACGACCGAGCCTGGTACCTCATTGCTTGGGAAAGCAGTTCCGTCCCTGTTGCCTTTTCCCACTTCCGGTTTGACGTGGAGTGCGGAGATGAAGTCCTGTACTGGTAGGAGCCCCGGCTTGGGGTGGGCGTGGGGAGGAGATGCTGACACTGCTCCAGGTGTCCAGCTGGGTGGCAGAGTCCACTGTCCCCGCCGGGGTCTGCAGACTGCCAGGGCCCCAGGCTCCTCCGACGGGCCCTGCCTCCCCGTGCTCACGTTGCTGCTTTCTTCGTCCAGCTATGAAGTGCAGTTGGAAAGCAAGGTGCGGCGGAAAGGCCTGGGGAAGTTCCTCATACAGATCCTGCAGCTCATGGCCAATAGGTAAGGGCCACCCTGCGTGTCGCTCCGTTGCAAGGATCTGCCTCTGAGCCATCCGCAGTTCTTTGAGCCTCCGTGGAGGACAGGGCCCACAGGAACGTTTTAGAAGAAAGGCGTGTAGATAGAACCCTCTCAGTAAGAGTCCCTGCCCTGCTGGGACTCCAGATTTTGTACATGCGTTTCGATGCAGCGTTGCCTCGGAGAGCCTGTTGTGCCCCAGTCGTGGGGGTGCAGAGAGGAAGTGGAGAAGGAGCCGGTCAGGTGGGGGCCTGGCGGCCGTGCGGTCTCGTCAGCCCCGTAACAGAGGGAGCACTGAGCGCTGTGGGTGCCCAGCACGGAGGTAGAGTCAGGGCGCAGAGCAGCGCTCCTCACGAGCAAATGGGAGACAGCAGGCAGAGGCATGAAAGAGGAGGCGTGATTTCACGTCTGTTTCTCTATCTGGAAGGTGTTCTCTCTGCTTTCTTCTCAGCACACAGATGAAGAAAGTTATGTTAACTGTATTTAAACACAATCATGGCGCCTACCAGTTCTTCCGAGAAGCACTGCAGTAAGGAGCTGGGCCCCGGTGTGGGACTCTCTGGGCAGTAGGAGGTGCCTGCCCCAGGGTCCTGGCCCTCGCCCTCGCGCTCATTCATCCTGAAGCCTGAGCTCCCAGTCCAGTGGTCCATGGGAGTGGCCTGGGGATCAGTGAGATGTGTGGCAATGCCCTCTGGCTGCGCCCTCACTCCTAGGGGTGTCACAAGTGCGGCTGGTGGAAAAGTTCTCGGGCCGGGGAGGAAGGCAGTCAGCTGCCTGCAGTCCAACCTTTCTTCTTGCCTGCCTTGCAGATTTGAAATCGATGACTCTTCCCCCAGCATGTCTGGGTGCTGTGGAGAGGACTGCTCCTATGAGATCCTGAGCCGGAGGACCAAGTTTGGGGACAGCCAGCACTCCCACGCGGGCGGGCACTGTGGTGGCTGCTGCCACTGAGCTCCCAAGCTAGAATGCTCTCTCCAAGGCCTGTCTTCTCCCCGGGCTCACGCTGCCGGCCAAGTGCCCTCAGAGCTGTGGCCTCCTCAGCCCTGCGCGTGCCAGGCTGCAGCCTGAGAGCACAGAACCCTGGGGAGGAGTGGTCCAAGCTGCCCCTCCTCCTCTCTCCTGGAAGAGCAGAGAGCCCGGAAGGAGCAGAGAGGAGAGGGTGCTGAGGGAGGAGCTGGCGGAGGCCGGGCACGGAGCGTATCTTCTCATGGTGGCTGCCTTCTCGCTTGGCCCTTGTGCCCTTGAGCATGAGGTTCCCCACCTTCTCTGCAGATGGATTCCTGACAAGCCCCCTCCCTCCCCCCTGCCACACACACACTTGGACAGATGAGGTGTTTATACCCACCTTTATAAAAGTCCTGGAGCCCCGGGTCAGGGTCTGGCTGGCCCTCAATGAAGAATGGATTCCGTATGAGATCGGGACGTAGAGATAGGCTTCAGAGAGACTCACATTTCATAGATGAATGCTCTGGTGGAGACCGTGGGAAGGCCTTTTGTGCCACGACGCTGGGAAGCAAGGGGCTCTTTCTAGCTGTGCTTTTATGGGCTCACGGCGGCCGGGGAGGCATTCCAGGCGACCGGCCCGTTGGAAGGAAGGCCCCATCCCTCTCTCTGAGGACCAGGAACAAGGTGTGGATGGGGGCGGGGTGGGGGGGCCAGAAGACAGTTGCGTCTCTGGGCTTTTGGACTTAGTGACTCGAGCTCTTCGTTCACAGAAACAAGCCGGAGGTCCTGCCGGTGCCTCTCCATCGCCCTTCACCACTTGTTCTCCCTCAGCTCACCCCCTCGCCCTGTTCTTACTCTCACAGGGGAGAATAATGTTAGGGAGCCCCTCCCCTTCCCCCAGAAGGATCCCCTGTTCCTGGCGTATTCAGTACTGTCTCCTCTCAGATCTTGGTGCTGATTGCTCTCTGAAGGTGGGGCCCCCCTCCCGCTTCAGAGAGCCCCCAGCCAGCAGCAGGCCCCGCTGCCTGCGCTCCCCAGCCTTGCCCCTTGCTGCCTCAGTGAGGCCCTGGCGCCACTGCCCTGGCTGGCGGCTTCGGCTGCAGCAGGAATGCCTCTCGGTGGCCCAAACCGCTGCTCCTCCCTCTGTCCAGTGTCCGCCTTCGGCAGCGGGCTGGAGCAGGGGGAGAAGGCCTTCCTCCTCTCCCGCGGGATAGGAAGGCTGTGGGTCAGAGCTTCTACTTGCCCTGATCTCCGGGCCTTGTTCCCCTCCCAGGGAAGGTAATGACCAAATTCTTATCCAGGAAAAAGCCCCTGCCGCCTCCCCTTGGACATCCTTGAGCTCTGCTTTAGGGAGTGTCTTAAAGGTTCTAGCCTTTGTGAAGTTGCTCTTCGGAGGTCTGTTCTGACCTCAGCGTCTGCCCCTACCCCACCCTCTGCCCTGACTCAGGTGGTCTATGCTGGCGGGTCTCCCTGGAGCTGTTCTTGCCTCTCCCCTACTTTCCTGCTTGTGCAGGGGCCTGTCGCACGGCCTCCTTCACCCACCCGGCCCTCCTGAGTGCTCCGTGTTGCTCTTGACCCCGCCAGCAGCCGACGTGGCACTCCGTTGGAGAGGGCCTTGCAGCTTTACACTGGAACGAGCCCCCCTCTGCCCCCGCCTTCTGGCTTGGGGAGGGGGGGTGGATTTTACACGGGCGGGGGTGGGGGGGAGAAATTTGAATTGAATTGCTGGGAGGGCATTGGTGGGCTCCCTCCAAGAATCATGGAATGACAGAAGCATGTTTAGGAGTTTTTTTCCTCTGATCCTTATCTCTCGACACAGAATGGATAGATATTTATTGTCTTAGATCATGGATTTCTGATACCTCCCATTCAAGGGGATCAAAAGGAACCCCACTGTAAATCCTTCATGAGGTGAGTTCAGTGTATGTCGTCTCTTTCCATTCATCGGACACCTGTCACTGAGCCCACTGGCAGATGGGGTGCCTGGTGCCGCACCCTGGTCCTCCTGCCTCTGCCGGTCACTTCCTGCAGGGCTGCTGGGGGTGGGGGTGGGGGTCAGGGCTGGGGCGGGAGAGGCACTGCTTGAGGCCAGTAGGCCACTCTCTGTTGTTGGTGTTGAGCCCATTCAGTTCTCACTTCCCCGGGTCTTGGTTTTGAGAAACAGGGCAGGCCTTTTGTTCCCGGCTTTTTTGTGTGTTTGGGGCATGTTAAAATATTTTTTAAGACTTTTTTTTTTTTTTTTTTTTTTAGTTGTATCCACCCTATTTCAGATTCTTTTTGTTGATGTCAAAAATGTGTATATGACATGCCTATGGTTCTTTTTAACCCTTTCTGGTTTTGTTTTTTAGAGGAAACTGAAGATAAACTCCTTCTTGATATATATTTTTTTCTTTAGCAACTTGTTATCACTGGAATCAAAGGGAAAAGTGATCTCTTTTTGCATTGGTTGTATTTGTATGTCACAAATAAAAGACACTTTGTTCAGCTGCTGGGATGGTGTCCTAATGCTGGGGTGCCATGGGCAGCGTGGTCTCGGGGGACACCCCTGACCTTCACAGTGTCCCACTGTTGGCCTAAACCCTGGCAGGCATGTGGCGTGAGGCTGCACACCCCTTCCTGTGAAGGAGACCTCGGCCTGAGAAAACCTCGGTGTCTGGGGCAATAGCCAGGGGTGGGAACTGAGACCAAATCCGCCTGTTCGTGCCACTTCCCACTGGCCCCGGGTTAGAGGTAAGAGGTCTTTCAAGGGATGCCTGCTTTGTATCTGGGACCGAGTCCCGAGCCAGGCGCGTTGTGACATCTGACACCTGACATCTTTGGCTAAATGTAAATTATAGTGCCCTGGTGCCGTGAGTGGGAGTTGAATAGATTGTCTTTTCTTATTTTTTATTTATTTTTTTAACGTTTATTTCGTTTTAGAGCATGCGAGAGAGCACGTGCGCGAATGTGCGGGGGAGGGGCAGAGAGAGGGAGAGCGAGAATCCCAAGCAGGCTCTGCACTGTTAGCGCGGGGCTCTACTCGAGGTTCGAGCTCAGGAACCGTGAGATCGTGACCTGAGCCGAAATAAGAGTGAGATCATGAACTGAGCCGCTCAGGCACCCCGAGCGTGTGTTTTCTCTCTTTTACTTTATCGGGTTATTCAGAATATTCTTTGTCTCTTAAAAAGATGCTAAACCCCTCTTCCCTTCGCTGATAAAAGACAAAGGCACAAAGGAAGGGTAACTCATGTCAGGCCTGACAGGACAGGAGAGTTGACAGGCGTGTGACAGATGGAGCTACTCAGTTTCTCTCCCAGGTGGGACTCAGTCCCTGGCCCAGGGTGAGCTGGGAAGAGAAGTAGGAGGTGGGCCAGGAGCTGGTGTTCAGAAGCACTTCCGTGGACACTGGAGGGGCCAGCCTTGTGCTCCTGGCTGGGAATCCTATGTGCTGGAAGGTGGCAGGAGGCCAGGAGGGGCCCCAGGCCACATGGGAGTCGCCTGTGCGCTGGCAGGGCAGTGACCTGGGGAAGGCAGGGCAGGCAGGTCATAGTGTTCGGTGACTGTCACTATGTTGTGGCCTCAGCCCTGTGGGCGGGGCACCCCTGGGGGATGGTTTGTGCCCTGGTTGTATCAGGGAGGCACAAAGAAAGGCGTCACAATCCCTGGGAAAAGGAGAGGGTTTCACTGGGCTAATTGTAGCACGGATTTCTCCTGTGACAAAATTCTGCCCCCTAAGCTCTTTGTTCCTTGCAGGCTGTTTTAATTTCAGGCAGGAATTCCTTGGGATGACTGTCCCCTCACCGCAGGGCAAATGGCCAGAGTTGGAAGGGTGTGGGGCTCTTTCTTGGTCACCGCTGGCTGGGGTCTGCGCCCACCTCCTCTCCCACCTTCCTGAGTGGCCTGGGCCCCTGTTTGGTCCCCCAGCGGCTGCGTCATACAGCTGTCCCCACCCCTCCCTCCAGCTGTAACTGAAGCTTCTTCCCTCAAATGGCACTTGCTGACGTGCTGCAGGTGAGCAGAAGAGCAGAGGCCTGCAGAGCTCTTCTGTTTCAGGTGGAGCCTGAGCTCGTTTGAAAAGGACTAGGTTTTGCCAGTGCAAGCAGCTTGGTCACCAGGTGATTTCTGCTGGCAGGCTTTGAAGGTGGTCAGTTCAACAACCTTGGTCTTCATGGTGCTGGGGACCAGGGCAGTGCTTTTCTGCATCCTGCATCCAGGCTGCAGGGCCCAGGTACATGGTCAGGCCTGGGCAGGAGTTGGTCTCAAGGCTGTGTCTTCCCTCTCAGGGTTTGACCTAGAGAAGCAAGAGCTGGCCTGGCCTGTCGCCAACCTGTTGTAGGGGCAGTCTCTCCTGAGGGCTACCTCTGTCCCACGCAGGGGAGCTGTTGGGAAAAATGGGGACTGGAATTGAGAAGGCCAAGATGGAGGACCGGCCACCCTGCGGGGACAGAGGTTTACCTACAAAGGAGGCCTGCAAGAGGGTGTTGGGACAGCAGAAGCGCTTGTTGCCTGCAGTGACGACTTGGCAGGTTTTAGCTCTTCTCCAGGGAGGAGGAGGTGGCCATAGCCATCTCCTACCTGCCTCAGCTTTTCCTTGATGTCCTGTGCGATCTCGCACTGGACTGGATGAGGAGGAGAGGGTGATGGGTTCAAGGAGAGGCGTTCTCCTTGACCCCCTCTGACCTGGGCCCCCTGCCTCCTGTCGCCTGTCCAGGGATGGAGAGTGGCCTCTGCGAGCCCTCCCGCCGCACGCACGTGCACTCACAGATTTACGTTTCCTGGAGGCTGCGCGTGCGTCAGTGGACAAGGTGACTGTGAACCTGTACCCTGGGTTTGGGAGTCCCTTCCGTGGGATCTTAATTATAGTAAGGTGAACGTTTGCCGTGGGCCAACAGAGGAAGCCCCTGCTGGGGCCGGGGGTCAGACCACACTGCACCGTGCTTAGTGTAGACCAAGGTTAGAGGGATGAGGCCCTGAAGGAGAGCAACCAGGCTGAGAAGAGCCTGGAGCTTCTGAAGGAGTGGGGCTGTTTATCTTGGAGAAAAGGTTGGGGCAGGGACACAGCCATGAGCCAAGGTGAGTCAGCAAAACTGGAGGTGGCTGTGGTGGCCCGGGGGGACTGGCTCCAGCTGTGCTGCATGACGGGCTGTTAGCTCCGGGGCCCTGTAATGGAAGAAGGTCTGGCATCCCAGGCCCTGCACCGCTGTGTGGTCCTGCCCTCGTACAGGAGGACATTGTTGCAAGGAGTAGGGCTGGGGGGTGGCCTCATCCACCCCTCCTCCCCTTCCACCGGTTGTGACAAAGTAGCCGTGCTACTCATGCAGTGAGGATCTTCATGAACTAGCAAGGTCCCAGCCGGCCAGGTCCACACGCTGGATGGTGAGGGACGGTATAGCTTTCATAGATGGGCACATCGTGAGTGCCGCCACACCCGGAGTCCAGGATGATGCCTGGGGAGTGGACTGGGCAGGGGCGGGGGGAGGGCGGTGAGGAGGTGGCCTTCACTCCCAGAGCAGCCTGTGTCCTGAATATTGGATACAGGGAGTGAGAAGGGATAAGAAAAGTGGCTGGAGGGCTGTGGGGGCCCAGGGATGGGCTTGTCCAGTGCAGGCCTGGCTGAAAGATGGGGTATCGAGAACAATGAGAAAGGACAGGGGACTCACTTGTCCTGGGCTACATGATGGAGAAGAGGTCAGGGGTCTGGTGTCTGAGAGAGGAACTCAGGGTATAGAGTTGAGGGTCCAGAAGGCAAAGGGGTCTGGATGCAGGGTCACAGCAGGATAGGGGTGAGGCTGGGAGCACTGGTGCAGCCAGAGTCATAGAGCAGCAGCACAGGCTTGGATGGTCACATACATGACCTGGGTCATTTTTTCCCTCTCGGCCTTGGGGTTGACTGGGGCCTCCATGAGCAGCATGGGATGCTCCTTTTGGTTCACGCTAACCATGATGCCCTGGGGAGGCGGACGGGGAGGGCTTGCGTGTGCTTGGGGGGTGGTCCAGCCTGGCGGCCCCACCCCTCGGCCCATCTCAGTGTACCCATCTATATCATGGGCCCAGGAGACCGGAGTGCTCAGTTCTGTTGGGGGTCTTGGTGGGCTGTCAGCTGTGGGGTGTGGGTGGACCCTGCCACAGCAGCGTCCCTGGACTTCACCAAGCCTGAGTGGCTGTAGCACACAGCGCATGAGTGAGGTGATCTTATCTTCGCACATGGCCACTGGCTGTGGGCCGCGGGCCGGAAGGGGTTAACCACTGCTTGGCTCCTGGGAGGTGGCTGAAACTTTCCAACCAGCTGCCAGACCCCTGGGGTGCTGGGCAGGACAGCTGCATTCCACTGGGGAGAGCAGCACCCCCTTGTCGCTCTACCTCCCCACCCACCCCTGCCAAGCTGTGCAGGGGTGGGGGTGGGGGGGCTCTTGAACGTCTGGCGCCTGCTGACAGCTGTGCCCCAGGAAGAACAGATGCCCCTCTGGGACTCTGCCCACATGCGCCCTGGTGACTGCTCTGCCTGGACCAGGGCCAGCTCAGGTTTCCTAATCAGCTTTTTTCTTCTGGTGAGGCCGGCCCCTCCTGCCTCTTTCTCCTACTGGACTTTGTGTGAAAGCCCCCATTTTGCAGATGGGGAAGCAAAACCAGGGAGGCGAAGGTAGGGAAAGAGCCATTCTTTTTTTTTTTTTTTTTAATTTTTTTTTCATGTTTATTTATTTTTGAGAGAGAGACAGGATGCGAGTGGGTTAGGGGCAGAGAGAGAGGGAGACACAGAATCTGAAGCAGGCTCCAGGTTCCGAGCTGTCAGCACAAAGCCTGATGCGGGGCTTGAACTCACGGGCCGTGAGATCATGACCTGAGCCGAAGTTGGATGCTCAACCGACTGAGCCGCCCAGGCGCCCCAAGGGAAAGAGCCATTCTTTAACCCAGCGAGTCAGTTTTGGATTCTTGAACCCTCCTCCTCTGGACACTGGACCCTTCCCAAGACTGCTAGGGTCTCTGCTGCTACCCCCACCCCAGGGACACAGTACATACAGGCCTGTAGAGAGAGTACAGCTGCCTTCAGTGAGAACCCTGGGGTGGGCTCCTTCCCCCTCTAGCCTTCCCCTCTGCCAGCCCTTGGGTTCAGTGCCCAGCGCCCAGTCAACATCCCAGCAGGAGAGTCTAGGCCAGGTGGGGAGAATGGAGACCTCTAGCTCAGGTACTTACCAGCCCTGTGTTAGATGCTTGGGGAGGTGGTGAACCTCCAGAAGGTGTGTGTGTTGGGGGAGGGGGTAAATCTGAGGGATTTACACCTGGCACTAGAGTGCCAAAGTTCAGCCCCTTCCCTAGGCCTCACAAGCTGCAAATTTGGACAGAGCAGCGTTAGGCCGGCACCTTTAATAGAGTGCCAGGCCTGGGGTGGGGGATAACCAGGGTTTCTCCAGCCCACGTATGGCTAGTGGGGCTGGGAGGCCAGCTCTGAGATGGGACACCTGGTATCTTCCCAGCCCGTATGTGACCCTCAGGCCCTTGGGGACCTGGAGGT